AAATAAAATCTTAAAAAAAAAAAAAAGAGGGCGAAGGTAACGTGGGAGAGTTGGTTACATTGATGGTGAAAGAGCTGAAAACACACAGGGAACATTGAGGCAGCCCAGAGATTAGCAACAGCAAAAAGCCATGAATACCCTGAGGCTGGAGGGGAACAGGGAAGAGCAGTATAACCAGATCTCTAGAGGTGGGTTAACCCAGACAATCAAGAAACATGGTAGACTTACCTGGAGGGAGCTGGAGTGAGGGAGATAACAATAATCATCACTGGAGAAATTGCCCAATGCAGAGAACAAAGGGGAAAAACACACTCCCTCCATACAGCCACCAGTCTCTCATCAGTGTCTCCCATTAGCCAAGCACAACCAGAACCAGGTGACACGAAGCTTGGGACACACAGCCTGCATGGGTTAACCCCAGTGCAGTGCAGAGCAGAGCCTTGAAGCCTAAGGAATAGATCTGCGGGCAAACAGGCCCAAGACTAGCACCTGCCTGTAGCCATTCCTCCTTCTGGTAAAAGCAGCATGCTGGTATTCCTATGGGGGATGACCCCTGCCCTCGCTCTCTGATTCCAGATTTCTTTTTATTTAACAATACCAACCTTCAGTGTTTCCTGGAGCTTGCATAATTCACTTTCCAAAATGCAAAACCGTTGTTTTAGACTGTGAAGTTCTCGATGGCAGAAACGGGATGGAAAGACGGTGTCTTTCAATACTTCTAAACTCTGAAATTCAAAATTAAACAAGCCTGAAATCTATAAGTAACATGATCAGGACAAGAAAAAAGAGAGAAAAAAGCGGTTCGATGTATGTTTTACAGAAGCAAAGGCCTATATGACCCCATAATTTCATCTTACCTGAGCTTAGCTTTAGTGTTGTGCTGACCTGAGCACACACACATGCGAACACACATACCAAGTATGCAGAAAAACCATATTGCTGAAAACGGGTATGTCAAACCCATACCTGGGCCATGCAGTTCTGGCACCAACTGTATATAGACCACACTCTATTTGTCCAAAGTTTTACAGTATCTTTGATACTGGGAAATCTGAAGTTCCAGGATGGTCTTAGCCGGCTTCTGCTAAGGGATGTATCTCCTGAAGAAATAACCACTCTGTAGGAAAAACAAAACCAAACCAATAAAAAACTCCTGAGTTGGATTAACAGCTCTATTTATTTATTTATTAAAGTATTTTTTTTTAAAGATTTTATTTATTTATTTGACACAGAGAGAAAGAGCACAAGCAGGGGGAGCAGCGGAAGAAGAGGGAGAAGCAGACTCCCCACTGAGCAGGGAGCCCGATGTGGGGCTCAGTCCTAGGTCCCTGGGATCATGACCTGAGCCTAAGGCAGACAAGCCCCATATCTGGCTCTGCACTCAGTGGGAGTCCGCTTGGGATTCTCTCTCACCCTCTGCCCCTCCCCTCACTTGCTCTCACTCTCTCAAATAAATCTTTTTTTATTATTATTTCTTAAAGATTTTATTTATTTATTTGACAGAGACACAGCGAGAGAGGGAACACAAGCAGGGGGGTGGGAGAGGGAGAAGCAGGCTTCCCGCCAAGTGGGGAGCCCGATTCGGGGCTCGATCCCAGGACTCTGGGATCATGACCTGAGCCGAAGGGAGCTGTTTAACCGACTGAGCCATCCAGGCGCCCCTCAAATAAATAAATCTTTAAAAAATAAAATAATAGGGGTGCCTGGGTGGCTCAGTCGTTAAGCGTCTGCCTTGGCTCAGGTCATGATCCCAGGGTTCTGGGATCAAGCCCCGCATCTGGCTCCCTGCTTGGCGGTAAGCCTGCTTCTCCCTCTCCCACTCCCCCTGCTTGTGTTCCCTCTCTCGCTGTGCCTCTCTCTGTCAAATAAATAAATAAATAAATAAATAAATAAATAAATAAATAAATAAATAAAATCTTTAAAAAAATATATATTTTATTTATTTATTGGGGGGAGGGGCAGAGAGAGGGAGAAGCAGACTTCCTGCTGAGCAGGGGGCCCAGGAGAGGACCCTGGGATCATGACCTGAGCTGAAGCCAGATGCTTAACCAACTGAGCCACCGAGGCACCCCTAAACTCTTAAAACAATGATCACCACATAAAGTTTAGAATGCTCAGTCAAAATTTAATTTCTGATGAGGGATGAATAATATTTTAGTGTAAGTATCCTGTAAATGTTGCATGGGACAATATTAAAAAATATTTTTTATCTGAACTTTAAATTTAATTGGGCATTCTTTGCTAAATCTGGTGACCCTGTCCTTAACAGATCAGATTTTTAGTATTTTTTCTTTTCCACACTTACGCCTTACCTTTCTGGTGAGGGTGGCGGAGGAGGAGGTGTAATTAGCTTGGGCTGAAAGTGAGAGGCTTCTCTTTTTTTGAATAATCTTTTTGCTTTGGCTTTTAGCTTTCTTCTTCGTTGCTTGAACTTGGGCATGATTTCTGTAGAGAAAATTTTTTTTTACATTTTTTATTTTAGAATAATACATACATATAGAAAATGTAAAAATCTTAACTGTACAGTTCAGTGAATTATCAAAGTGAACACACCCTTCTAACCACCATTTGGTTAGGAAATGGATCGCTACCAGCATCCCAGAAGTCCCCTGAAGTGAAGAAAATTTAAACCCAGATTTAAAGTTTCTTTAGAGACTTGGCTTTGGCATTACGTCGCTCTCTAATTTTGTTTTGCTTGTCTTGCTTTTCTTCATTAAGTGTATTTCCATTTCTTGTAAGAGAGAAAAATGGCTATAGTTGGGTTATGGTCAGTTATTAAAAGAAGTTTCTTTCCAGTAACATTTACTGAGCACCCACTGTGATAGATGGAGTTGGTAGAGGAAGAAACAAATTTAACCATTGAATGTCCATTTGCTTTTGGTCACCTTCACATACACTTTCTCAGTGAATCCTCACTACCCTGCAAGATTTTATCCCTGAGGAAGAGGATTTTTACTCCCATTTTTACATTAAGAATAAACTGAGACATAGAAAGATTATATGATTTGCCAGTGTAATGCAGTAAATAAATCTCCAAAGACCATGTTCTTTCTAACACTCTGTGGTGCAAAAGTTGATTAAATAGGTGATATACAATGTAATAGCAGTTACCCCAAACATTTCAAAACATTTATTTTAAAGCATTTTAAAACACTATCTAGTGTATTTAGATTTTAATCTAGATCCTTTTCTGAAGAAAATTAAGTCAGAGCTAGTTTGATGTGAAGAAGAACTTTGCTGGTTGCTGTTGTTGCTACCTGAGGAACAAAGATGTCATTATTCAAGTAGCAGAACTAAAAATGGTCTCAAGGGCTGGGCCTCCTTCCCTTCAAACTCACATTTGAATAGGAACAATTGGCCTTTAAAATACACATTCATTCCACTTTTGTTCACCCAGAAACCTTTCAATACTTGGTATGCAGGTCTAGGCTTGCTCAGCTCTCAGATTGCACTGGCTGAAGAACCTCCTTTTTTAACTGGCTGTGGGTTGTAAAAACTCCGAAGTGGCTTACTGCAGTTCCAAGAGCTTTGGTCTTGCAGAGGGTACCCCTAATGGCAATGGGTGACAGTGCATATTATCAACAGCCCTTCTAGGAGGAAGGGTTCTCAGTAGCATCTTATTGAACTAATGCCAGGTCTCAAACTAACAGTTTTCCTTAATTGTTCTTACAGACATGGGAGATACGCCAAAAAATAGTTAGCTGACTTCACTTGTATTATATCACTTCTTCCTGCTGAAATAATGAAAGAAGGCTAAGCAGGGATTATTAAATTACAAAGGATATCTAAAGGATTCATTGATTTTTTAAAACAAACAACACAAAACTAAAATACTCTGAATGAAGATGTTTAGGAGAGCCTCAGAGGAAGCAGCAATCTTGCTGTTGCCTGAAAAAAAAAGATTAAACCTCATCAAATCCATGCCCACGATTTTCTATGGAGAGATGTCACAGAGAACCTCTACTCAAGGTCCAGAGTTCACTGGGTGAAATCCCCAGAATCTGAGACTTCCATGGTAACCTCGTCTTCCATGTCTTCCATCTGCCCCTATGCAACCCTCCCCCATTCTGTTCCCTCTCTCCCTTTGATGTCTTTTATTAGACATCATACTGACACAGAGAAGTGGCCTCCTGCCTCTTTTTTCCCCCTATATTCACCAATCCCTCAGTTAGAAAAACAGACTTTAGAAAGGAGCTGGGCATTCTGCTTTAAACTTGGTAGATGGGCTCCATACCTTTCTCTCCACTCCAATGGTGTGCTGGGGTTGGCAACAACTGATATATTTTCAGGAAGTCTGTGAGTTAGTTTTTAAACCCATCCACCATTAAAATTAAATTATATAAACTTATAATTAGATAATTTATATTTAAGATGGTAATAAAGGGGAGCCTGGGTGGTTCAGTTGGTTAAGGGTCTGCCTTCGGCTTGGGTCCTGATCTCGTGGTCCTGGGATCGAGTCCCACATCGGGCTCCTTGCTCAGCGGAGAGCCTGCTTCTCCCTCTGCCTGCCGCTCCCCTTGCTCATGCTCTCTCTCTCTCTCTCTCACTCATGCTCTGACAAGTAAATAAATAAAATTAAAAAAAAAAATGATAATAAATATGATGCAAAATTCATCACTTCCTAATGATTTTACTATTATCTATGCTCTTGCCGTTGTTTACCTTATTGTATCTATATAGTGAAAATGCTATAAAATGCTCATTTCTTTCCAATTCCACATTCAGTGACTTCATGTTGAAAACTTGAAATTGGCTGTGATGGGAGTATTTACACCATGGATATTATAAAACACCACAAATCAGGGCTTGATTCATTATGTTGTTGATTGTTAAGAGAGTGATAAAGAAAATGTTAATAATGCAGATCACATTTAAAAGCATATCTTGGGGGCACCTGGTTTGCTCAGTTGGTTAAGCATCTGCCTTCGGCTCAGGTCATGATCCCGGGGTCCTGGGATAGAGCCCCCTGACTAGCTTCCTGCTCAGCAGGGAGTCTGCCTCTCCCTACCCCATTCCCCCCTACTCATGTGTTGCACAGTCTCTCTCTCTCTCTTTCTCTCAAATAAATAAATAAAATCTTTTTAAAAAGTGTGTATCTTTTCTGTAGTTGTTACATTGTAAAAAGCATAAAATAATTGAGGAATATTCCGGTATTTGAAAATGATTATTCGATTCATCAAAGAAGTTGCGTACATAATTGAAATGAAGTTCCAATATAAATCTTTGGTTCACTTTATCTTATTCTATAGAGTAAATGAAAAGATCAACTGACATTCCTATCAGGACTATACTTGTTTATAAATTGGAACCATAGCAGGGCACCTGGGTGGCTCAGTCCGTTAAGTGTTCAACTTTTGATTTCGGCTCAGGTCATGATCTCCGGGTTGTGAGATCAAGCTTCAAGTGGGCTCCACGCCCAGCACAGAGTCTGCTTGAGGTTCTCTCCCTTCTCCTCTGCCCCTCCCCTCTCTTGCTCTCTCTCTCTCTAAAATAAATAAATAAATAAAATCTTAAAAAAAGTAAATTGGAACCATAGCTTGGCTACAGATACAAGAAGTCTGTAAAAATCAACAATAGTATTCTCTGAGAATCAACTGTATGTGAAATTTATAAGAACATTATAGGGGTGCCTGGCTGGCTCAGTCATTAGAGCATGTGATGCTTGATCTCAGGGTTGTGAGTTCAAACCACATGTTGGGTACAGAACTTACTTAAAAAAAAGCATTATATATATTTTATTATTGTTTATAATTTTTAATTTCCTGTTATTAGTAAATTTATAATAAAATTATGCATATGTATCTATTAAACATTTATTAGCACACTATTGGTCCAACCCTTCTGAAACATAACAAAAAAAGGCAGTAAAGGAGTGGTGAATATATTTCTCTTTCTTTCTTTTTTTAAAGATTTTATTTATTTATTTGACAGAGAGGCACAGTGAGAGAGGGAACACAAGCAGGGGGAGTGGGAGAGGGAGAAGCAGGCTTCCCACCGAGCAGGGAGCCTGATGCGGGGCTCGATCCTAACACGCTGGGATCATGACCTGAGCCAAAGGAACGGAAGGCAGACGCTTAATGACTGAGCCACCCAGGTGCCCCCACAATTTTAATTTTTTTTATTATTTATTTATTTTTTAAAGATTTTATTTACTTATTTGACAGAGAGAGA